TTTGAAGTGTCCTCCATCCCAAGGGAGGTTGGTTCATCCATTCATTAGGTCTTCAGTATCTGACAACACGTAAGATTTTCAGTGGCTACTTTCTCTGAAGTGGTCAGCAGAGTCCTCCTTTGTTGTCTGTTCTTGTCTGGAAGCTCCACTGAAACCCACTGCCTTTAGGTGACCCTGATGGCATTTGAAGTACCTGTGGCACAACTGCCAGCATCACAGCTACACACAAGCCACCACAGTATGCTAAACCGACAGACAAGTGGTGGGACATGGACTTAGAATGTCAGAAAGGAAGAACATACTCAGCATATACCAAGTAGAAAGATCTGACGGCAAATCCAAGTTTGGGGCTGCAATACTGAAAACTCCTATGAGCAAAATATTGACTGATGAAGGAAGAATCAAAAGATGATGGAAAGAATACACCGTACCAAAAGGAACGAGTTGACATTAACTATTTCAAGAGGTAGCATAAGATCAGGAGCCAATGGACCTGAGGGAAAAAGTCCAATCTGCACTGAAGTCACAGGGTTCCAGGAATTGACAGAATGCCAATTATCTATATTTGAACAGAAGGCAGACAGACAGACAGACAGACAGACAGACACACACACACACACACACACACACGGCGGGGGGATTCTAAAATTGATTCTGGTAAGGATTGTACAATTTTTCTTGATATGGTTGAACTACTGAATTGCATGATATATGGATTAGGTGCCAATAGAAATAGTTTTAAACAAAGAAAGACCATCAAGGACATGGGTTGACACCATAGCTGCAAAACTAGGCTCAAGCTTGAACAATGATCGTGAGGGCGGTGCAGGATGAGGCAGGATTGGGTTGGGTTGTGCACGGGGTTCACTATGAATGAAAATGGACTCAACACACAAAAACTGCAGCCAGAGGTACTTTCAAAGAATGGATCTGCTTCCAAAAAACATCACAACTGCAAAGTTCCTACAGAGCAAGGTTGTGCTGTACAGCACACAAGGCTGCTGTAAGTTGGAATCAACTCAACACCAATTAATTCTGGCTAGGCAGACAGAATCCTTCTGGTATTGGTTTTAATACAACATAAAAGAAACATTCATGCAAATATTGTTCGGAAACAAAAATTTTGGCCTAAGGGGGGGGAAAAATAACGGAGTTCTTAGATACATTGAAGGTTTGAGGGCTGAGAAAGTAATAGGAATAAAGTGAGTACCTTGTTATCTCAAAAAGCAAGAAAACAATTGAAGACCAGTAAGAGTCATTTCAAAAAGACTTAGAAATGAACTTGCAAAGGTTTCCCTGGCCCAGAAAATTTGGACATCAATAAGAATATAGGGGGAGGGAGGAGAAAAAAGAGGAGCTCATACCAAGGGCTCAAATAGAAAATAATGATGCAACATATGTACAAATGCGTGCGGTATGACTGATGTATAGAATGTTGTAAGAGCTGTGAGCGCCCCCAATAAAACGATCTTTTGAAATAAATAAGAATATAGACTGCAATGAATTCAGACACATCCAGTACATTGCCATCCATGATATTACTAAAAAAATCATAATAAAATTTCATTTACTACCTTTCTAGGATTTTACGAAACAAGTCAGTCTGCTGAAAATTGGTAAATAAAAGGAAATGATTGAAGTATTTAGTATCATTCCTGCACAAATTACCAGAGTTGCCAAACAGATATTGGAGAAATTCCCCTGCATTGAAATATTGCAGTTAATAAACGAGGGCTTGAGAATCAGAAAGCCAATAGCTTATCTATTGGTTCTCAACCTTCCTTAGTGGTTGAGTGGTTTTCAACCCTCCTCATGCCTCCACCCTTTAATACAGTTCTCATGTTGTGGTGACCCCCAACCATGAAATTATTTTCACTGCTACTTCATAACTATAATTTTGCTACTGTTATGAATTGGGTGACTCCTGTGAAAAGGTCGTTCAACACCCAACCCCCAAAAGGGGTCGCGACCCACAGGTTGAGAGCCCTTGATCTAGATAAAATAGTTACTAATATTGAAAGCCAAGATATAACCAACCATATTACCGCTCCATGAAAGTACACATGAAATATTCTGCCACCTCAACCATAAAGCAAAACCCACCACTGAGACAATCTGGCAGAGAAGCACCACTCCCTAGGGGAGGGTGTCCAATGCTGTAAATCCTTATGGGGCAAAAAAAAAAAAAAGCCTTATGGGGCAAACACTCACACCTTTCTCCCTCGGAGCAACTGGTGGGCCTGATCCGCTAACCTTTCAGTTAGCAATCCCACTCGTGACCAAGCAGGGCTCCTTTCCATGGTAGAGGGGGAAATCAGATTGTCTCTAAATATAACAAATATACAGAAAATACAAAGAAAAGAGGAGCATACCAGAGATGGAATCCATAAAACCCAGAATATAGAACACAACAAGGCCAGTAAAGAAAGCCCAAGGGAAAAAACAACTAGCGTTACAATGTAACCTGTTATGCTTGGTATGAAAACATAGACACAAAAACAAAAACACCCTGCTGTCTTTGAGTTGCTTCCAACTCTCAGTGGCCTTATTTAAGAGATTCTGAGACCTGAAGCCTGTATGAAGCAGGCCGCCTTGCATTTGCCAGCTGAGGCTGTTGAATTTGAACTCCCAATCCTGAGGTTAGCATCCCAATCATTAGCCCACAGCCACCCTCTTTATGAGCAGATCAGGAAATGGCAAAGTAAATGGATATTATTCAGTGATTTTGAGAAATTGCTGTTTGTTTTTATAGTGTAATGATTGTGGTTATATTTCTAAGTAATTTGTTATTTCCATAGATACATTCTGAGATATATAGGGATGCAATCACATAAAATATAGAACTGGGGAACAAGACTGTTAAAGAAACAAGACTGGAGCTAGGTGAGAGTTCTTAATACTATTCTCTGTGTTCAGATATTTGAAACTTTTACACTACAATAATATACACTTTATTGAAAGAGGTATAAAGGAGGCATAAAATATTTATACAGAGGGGAAAAACACAGCCATTGAGTCTGTTCCAGGTCAGAGCAACACTGCAGGACATAGTACAGCTGGCTCCTTAAGGCTTCTGCGGCTGTAAATCTTTACAGAAGCAGACTGCCACGTCTTTCTCCCTCGGAGCAGCTGGTGATGGGTTTGAGCCGCTGGCTTTTCAGTCAGCAACCCAACATTTCAATCCACTGTGCCACCAGGACGCCTTTTATACAGAACGCACCCTGTGAACCAAAATTCATTCATTTATTTAGATACGAGGAATTTTAACACTAATTGCATCTAGGTAAGCAAAGATAATTAAAAAATAATATGGCCCTTGGTGGCACAGTGGGCTATGTATTGGGCTGCTAACTACAACATTCACTGGTTCAAAATCACCAGTAGGCTCCAGAAAGACCTGGTCTTGGAAATCTTGCCTACGAGTCAAAATCAACTCAGCGGCAGTGAAGTATACCCAGAGCTGGTGTGTTGCCTGTATATATGATCCCACCACAATAAAAAATAACACAGGGATTATTAACAAATCTTATGAATATGCTTGGGATGCCCGATTTAATATTTGTTTGTAAACTACTTTGTGCGTGCGTGCGCCTTCCATGAGACTAGGCACTTACAAAAGATGTATCATTTTATAATAGCTGACAGATACCCAAGAGGCCTGTGCAGCTGGTTTTCGTGGACATGATACCAACGGTGGTTAAGGTTCCAACAAACAAGAAAACAGAGGCTTTAATCGTGAACTTCAAAACAAGTACGGCATTTATCATTTCTGTCAGATTAAAGCCCCTGCTGCCCCCAACTGGTTTTCTCCCTGAACTTTTGTGGGCAGGGAGGGATGAGGGCAAATGGTCTCGTGCTAGCCAAGGCTATCATGTATTAGCTCAGCTTCTGCCCCGCCCACTCCCAATCCAGGAAGGATTCAGAAACGAGTTTAGCTTCAGTGAGTCCTTTTATTTATTAACGTGCTGATAATGTAAACCTTTAAAATAAAGCATTTCCTGTAAATATTTTCGCAGATAATTTATTGCACTCATTTCATCTTCCAAATTTTTAGCATTTTCAGTTCAGACTGATACATGAATGATTGATCTCCTACCAAATTGTGTAGACCTTATTAATCAATTCCAATAACTTCTTTGATTTAATGTTTGAAAATAATTTATGTGAAAATAACATAAAATTCTTGTTGCACTATAGATATTTTCAAATAGAAGATTTTATTGTTTAAGTAATTTATCCTATGACCCAATATATTTAAGGGGGCTCATTCTGGAAATCTAGTTTACGTATAATACAGATAGAATAAACTTACTAAGAAATTCCCATCTGACCCTATCATCTAATTTAAAAGAGAAATTGCAAATGTGTCTCCAAGATACCAAGCATTATTTAGGAAAGGGAGCAAATCCCAACTTCTACATACCAAATATTCTTTTACTATGGTGAAAGATTTGCTAAAAGATCATTTTAAACAGGTAAGAATGGCTGTTTGAAATTGTTGTTTTAAAAAAATTGAAATGTTTATCAATTTAATTGCCCATTAACTATAAATATTAGATAAGTGGAATACACAAAAACAGACCATATATTGTAGTAAGATGACAAACACACAAGAGTTTTGACTGTCATTATCATGTTTAACAAAAAAAAAAAAACATATTCACAACACATGTATTATTGGTTAAAAACAGGGACATGCACTAAATACTTTTAATCTGGATAACCATTCAGAGGTTATAAAACTACAAGTTATGGAAATCTTATAAATAAAAGCTATTTTTTATTTAATATTCAAAACTTAGTTTAAGTACCTTAAATTATATATTAAAATAATTTACATAGTTTGAAAAACGAAGTATTTTAAATTATATACTGAAAATATATATGTAGTTGGAGAACATATTATCTTGAGATGCTTTCAAAATCTGTATAAGATTCTTAAAACAAGAGTACTAAAAAGCAATTCCAATACTGGTATTGGGAAGCTATGGAGTTCTTACCATTGGCAGTGCATTGATGTGGGATGTGCAACTGAATATCCAGAACCACCAATCACAAGGTGTTGTTGATGATACTGGGAAAAAGAAAATAATACAGTCAGTGAGCCTCAGTTCACCCACACAAATAGCAGGTAACAGCCCAAATGCCCATCAATAGTAGAATGGACACAGAAACTCTGGGACACACACACAACGCAATACTATGCATCCCTAAAAACCAGCTATGAGCTCAGAACACACTTCGTGGCATGGAAAGCATTATGCTGAGTGAAGTTACGTCCATATTGTAAATCCACTACTGTAAGGATAATCAGCAAGGCGAAAGACAGGCTTCCCTGATCCCAGGTCATGTAATCTTCTAATCTGGTCTCCCAAGCAACCAGGTAGACAGAGTACCTACTTAGCATCCATGAACCATGAATCACCCCTCCTCTATATGTCTGCCTTAAAACGATTCAGTTGCTGCCATCCAAAACTGAACTAAATACAGCCACCCCAAGTTACCAGACACACTTAACCACAGTGTTAGGCTAACTGTATTGGAAATTCAAGTCAAGGGGGGACTTGTATTTCTCCAAGAAGGCGACTGCATTTCTGTTGGTGGGTAAAGAGGGGGAGGAGCAACCTCCCTTAGAAGAGAACAAAAACCTGTAATACTTAGAGAGATCCCCAGGAGAGAACACCTTCCTATTTTAATGTTCCGAGCTGTTCCTAATTGGACACTTTTGACCTAGTTTCTCTGCAGCCCTTGGTGACCCAGCCACGTGCTACAGAACCCCAGGACTTTAGACTCTTCTCTGGGCACACAACATGCTCCAAAAGATACACCTGAAGGAATCAAGAGTAGAAACACCACTAACTAAACTGGGCTTTACCTCAAATTCACCTGTAGCCCTGGGACGTAAGGCTGAAACTCCCCACTGTGAGGAGCAGGTCATTGCTATTCCAGGAGCACACACAGAACTGCAGTCAACTTCGGTTCCCCTCTGTCACCTTGAGGGTGCCCAGTGAACGGTGGCCAAGGACTTAATGTTTTAATGTGCTCCTTGTTTTCTATGATATACATTATTCTGATAGACATGGCTCTGGCTTTAGTTTCTGGACACTTACGGGTTTAATCCGTACAAATCTGCAATTCATGTATTACAGTTCGTATTCGTATACTTGCATGATTTCCTTTTATCAACAGTGTTTCATATTCTAAACCAGTGGCTACATGATTATCTTATACCCCGGGGAATGATTGATAATGTTCTCTAAAATAAAATTTTAATGATGACTCTAAACTAAGCCAGAGACATATATAAACCATAGATATATATATGAATGGATGTTGGGCTCCAATTTAATTCTAGTCCCAAGCTACAGATAAGTTCTAATGACATGGCCCTGCTTAATGCCTGCCCTCAATAAGAGACCACTGAAGATATGGTTGCTCAGCAAAATCTGTTGAAGAAACTAGGTGGTTTTGGACATTGAAAGTACAGTTTCTGGTGTCTTAAAACAAGCGGCCCTCTACGGGAAGCATCCACTTAGTCCACATGGAAGAAACACACCAGCCTGTGTGATCCAAGGACTAGAAATAATAAAATCCACATCTAAGAGATGGAATGGTATTAGAGCAGTGGTTCTCAACCTTCCTAATGCCGCAGTCCTTAATAGTTAGTTCTTCGTGTTGTGGTGACCCCCCCAACCATATAATTATTTTCTTTGCTACTTCATAACTGTCATTTTGCTACTGTTATATATTGGGCAACCCCTGTGAAAGGGTTGTTAGCCACGCACACCCCCAAAGGGGCCGTGACCCACAGGTTGAGAACCTTTGTATTAGAACTGGCTCACAGTGGAATCCCAAAATCCATTTCCTGGGTTAACACATGGATTTAGCCTCTGACCACACTCAAAGGATATGACTAGCCTTGGTACTAGGCAGACTGCACTGTAGAGCGGATTGAGGCAGGTCTAGTTAGGTTAAAATGAAATGTCATTTGATCTTTTTAACCCATTTTAAAGTTATTTCAGTTTAAAGAAAATTGAAGGGGAAATACACATGGATTAAGCCTCTAGAGAATCTCTTCTGACCATACAGCAGGGATGTGAACATACTTTCTATCATCCAGAGAGCACTGGAAAGTAGATCACTGCAGGTGCAGTTAGGTTAAAATTTAACACCTTATTATTTGATCTACCTTTTGACCCATTTTAAAGTGTAAGTTTTTAATAGTTTCTGCCTTCTTTTCTATTGAGGTTCGTTGTGTGGGTTTGGGGGGCTGTTTTACTTTGTTATTGATGGTTTTATGTTTTCCTTTTGTTTGGTATGGTTTTCTGCATATGAAATTCAGGATAGGTGAATCTTTAGAAATAATAACTAGATTAATCCTTTCTTGGGGAGATGGCAGCAGAGGTTGGGGGAAATGAGGAACTGATAACAAGTACAAGAAAATGTTCTAAAATTGATTGTGGTGATGACTGTACAACTTTTAATATGGTTGAGCTATTGAATTGTAGATGTGAACTATGTGTCAATAAAAACTTTCAGAATAGCGTCTGGGGTCTTACAGGCTTGAAGGTAAATAAGCGGCCATCTAGCTGAGAAACAACAAAGCCCACATGGAAGAAGCACACCGGCCTGTGTGATCACAAAGTATTGAAGGGATCAGGTATCAAAATGAACAAAAAATCATTATCATTGTGAATGAGGGGGCAGTAAAGACTGGGGACCCAAAGCCCATCTGTATGTAACTGGACATCCCCTTACAGAAGGGTTGTAGGCAGGAGACCAGCCAGTCAGGATGCAGTATAGCAACGATGAAACATACAACTTTCCTCTAGTTCTTTAATGCTTCCCCCCACACACCCCCAACTATCATGATTCCAATTCTACCTTATAAATCTGGCTAGACCAGAGGGTGTACACTGGTACAGATGGGAACTGGAAACACAGGGAATCCAGGACAGATGATCTCTTCAGGACCGGTGGTCAGAGTAGCAATGCTGGGAGGGTAGAAGGAAGGTGGGATCAAAAAGGGGAACCGACTACAAGGATCTACAGATAACCTCCTCCCTGGGAGACAGACAACAGAAAAGTGGGTAGAGGGAGACATAGGATAGTGTAAGATATGGCAAAACAATAATAATTTATAAATTATCAAGGGTTCATGAGGGAGGGAGAGGAAAAAATAAGGAGCTGATGCCAAGGGCTCAAGTAGAAAGCAAATGTTTTGAGAACGATGATGGCAACAAATGTACAAATGCGCTTGACACATGATGGATGGATGTGTGGATTGTGATAAGAGTTGTACGAGCCCCCAATAAATTGATTTTTTTTTAAATTTGAAATATATATTCAGTGTGCCCTAAAGCCGAAGATTTCAATAACAAAACTTTACATGTTTTAAAGACTATTAACTTGGGTCTTTAATCTTCCTATGCATAAATATCACAAGCAGCGACAGTGATTGAGAGCTTAACCTGCGCCATGCACTGATTCTTTATAGCTCAACTTGACCTAGGATCACACACCCCACATACACACATGGGGGGAGGGGGAGACACCAATAACAGTGAGATATGCAGAATTGGCTTTCAAACCATTCGATCAAAACTTTGGAAAAGTGGAATCCTGGCAGAGATTATGTTTGAGAGGGTTTACCCAGCCTTCCTGAGGGTTTACCCAGCCTTCCTGATTGGCAAGCCACAGTACAATGGCAATCCCAGAATCTTTCAGGTCAATGTAATGGTATTTCCCACAGGTGTTACCAGAGTGACTGTCGGATGGCACACTTGACAGACCAGTCACACCATGTGCTAACTTCCCATAAGAGTGGTATCCAGCTAATTACCAGAGAAAAAGCACTTCCTAGAACATGAAGCTGCTTTATCTCATAGACCACAGAAGGGAATTAAAAGATCAACGATGTAATACAGAACACACATTTAATTATATCTTAGGTGCTCTGTGCCCATCTACCCTCCCCCACCCATTTTATACTCTTCTAGCCACACTGACACATTCTACTGCCTTTCCTGCCCCAAAGGGTGCCGGGGCCAAGTGAGGTATGCCAGTTGAGGTAGCCACAGAGGGGTACTGGGATATCCCACGCACACCCTGCTGCTCCAGGAGCTAGAAGAGCTAATGAAAGACAGGTAAGATCTCTTTATTGAGCAAAATATTTCTGTTATATCTTGTTCTCCCATCCATATTGCTCAACTCCACTGCAATAGTTGATATATGACAGTAAGTGAAAATTATTGCTACCAGTTTATATATACAACAGTTTACTCCAAACACAGCATGATTAGACAATGTCTCTGACACCAGGGGATGGCTGCAGACAAGTTCTTATAGTAATATAATTAGTCGTATGAAG